CATTTTCCGAACTTTTGGGTTCATAGGTTCCGTAATCCTGACACATTTACAAATTTTTCATATAATAAAGAATAGTTTTCATTATCTGGACTAGTTGCCCCCCCCCCTTTTTGAGCGGTTGCTAGTTCAGATTTTGATGGACAGGGACAGATGAAACTCAAAGCGAGCGGCTGGGCAACATCAAGGCTAAGCGAGTTAATGTTTAACTGGGTGATTTTAAAAATTGCTGATAAAGATGCAGCAGAACGAATGGCCATTGAAAATCAGTAATACCACTAATGGAAAGTAAATATCAGTGGAAGATCACTTTGATCACCAGAATAAGCACGTCAGAAAACTAATAACAATGATCGTAAACACTCTAAGCAATTTAACTGAAAAGCAAAATGGAAAGATACACTCATGCGTTAAATATTTGAGAGGTAAGTGAGTGTGGGTGACACAGAACGGTAAAGCGTCATTGGTTGGGTGAAAAATGTCGTTCGAACGCACCGGCCTGGCTTCATTTCATCCTTAACACCAGAATCCGTTAAATATCAGGTAGTAACCTAACGCGGAATGCGCGTGTTGTGTTAAAACAATGAGGTTAACGTTTATTGTACCATACAGGACAATAATAGTCTTCTGAAACATGCTCGCATGTTCTATTAGAAATCCAGAAGATTATATATCGAAACTACCCAAGGAGAGCATTCCATTGGCCATGATAATTTCGCTACATAAACAAGAAGCATCCAACAATAAACTTCCATCACAATTTTTTGATTCGGTTACATCAAGTTACATTCAAACAGAAATCTTTCATTGAAATAGTTCTCGATAAATTTATCTGAATTTATCTGAACTGCTTGAGAATAAAATGTCAATAATTCAGAACTTTTCCACTCGAAAGTACTAAGCATCCACTTTACTGCTTTTTTACATTGCGAGCACTGAAACCAAGGAGACTGGAAAATGTCTGTTGAATGCAGCACTCTGCGTCAGTAAATACCTTTTGCTTCATGATGAAAATGTCTCTCTCAATTTTCTTTTAACAAACAAATCATTTTAATACAGCTGATATCGATTACTTCTGCTTTGAATTAAAAATGAACTGTTTTTTATCAATCAAGTTAAACTGTTTTCTATTACTACCAAGCAGTGTGAATGCCGTGTTCTGAAGGTGCGATCAATCACTTGTCTAGTTCGTTCTGTCAAAGTGTTACCGCTCAACTGAACTCAGGATTGGGTTTCCGAACTAAGTATTTATGTCATTTGTAGGTCTTTCCTTATTAGGAACTATTTCTATTCTATAATGTCAGCAAAACTACTGATGAAATTGGAACAAATTTAAGAATTTTTCCAAATTTCCCTAATGGCGTCAACAGTTTAAGCTTTGCAACGCTGTATCAAGTTGTTTTGTAGCCGCAATAAATTCTATCAACATTTTAAGTACTGTTGGAAGCATTCATAAAGGCGCAATAGACTCGGTAAAACTGACATGGTTATACGAGTTGGCGACAGTCCTTCTCAGGCCAAATAACTACTTAAGGAGTTTACAATGTCACCATGGCAACAAGGCGTAGTAGCGACCTGAAAGCAGGCAGTTGATCACACGGACGAATGCATCTAACGCGTAAGACGATGACCTTAAATCGATTGGAATTTCCAATATGTGCAGGTAGATTTTTTATAGCAAACGAAATCCCTACCTCATATAATCCATTTCCGCTCGTTGTTTTTGTGTCGTGTCTTCTCCCTCTCATTGTTTGTTTCTATGCCTATTTGTGCTCCATAGCAGAGCAGCACATTAGTGCAACATCAGTTCAACTAATGGGGAAAAATCGGTTTTCATAACTAGTTATGTTTACAAATGCTCTCCCACATTGGTTCCTGTAGAAAAAAACAAATACAAGAGGTCTTATTGATGTTATCAGCGCCAACTACGTTTATCAGAAGTAATGAATTAATTCGGAGCGGATACATCCTTATGGGACTTTTATTTCGCCGAACGATGTTTTTATTCTTTATACAGGCATCTAACCACCGACTGGGATGCATGAAAACACTGCGGTTGATTGAGTATAGATCAACTGAGAGAAAGTCCTTTCATTTCTCGTTCAGTAAAGCACAACCGAAATAGATGTAGTAATCAAGAAGTGGCTTGTAAGTGAGCTTCAACTGAGAACCTCTGACACAATCATTTTCTTTCAGGTCTACCCATCGAGAGTCACAAGTACAACAACTCAAATAGATCATTCTATGACTGTTTGTCTTTGCTCTTCAAACAGGAAGAATAGGGAATTTGATTTCTTGTTTGTTGGAAACTTTTCGCAACCAAACATTTCGCGTTAGACGAGAGTAAACTTTACAGCAGACAATAGGTAGTTATTCTAAGGGTCATTGGACTCCTGTTAGGCCGTGTTGCAAAGTAAGATTAAGACTGAGCCAAGACAAAAACTCTAGCTTGGCGAAAAAAGCCGGAGATGGTCAATAAATAATAATAAAACCAACTTTATTTGCATAGTGTTGCCGTGACAACTGGTTCATTTTTGTGATGCTTTCTAAGATTCATCCAGCAACATTCATGAAATCAGCTTCTGCAACGAAACAATAAATCTGCTGTTCACATTTGTTAAACTGAATTGTAAGAAGACTCCTAATGTGATTGAAGCTGGACACCCTTAGAAACACGGAGGTAATGTTTTTACTGTTGATCCCGATAAGCGGCGTACAACTTTCCCACAACCGTATGCATTACACCGATTTTCCGTCAACGAAGTTGCAGACAGGGCGAGTGATATATTGTTGAATGCTTTAGAGCAAAATATTGGGGTTCGCAATATTGACCAATCACTAGCTGAAATTATGTGGCTCAACTTACGGTATTGAACAAAAGCGTATTGATTAAATTACCGGATTCCTTATAAATTTAGTGTGGTTCATGGGAGATCTTCGGTTGATTCATTTGAACATTTTACATCAGCCCGTTGAGCATGCTCCTATCTGCTATATTGCACTGTTTGAATTTTCGTCGTAAACTCATCTGTTCATTAACGTGAATCAATTAAAACTGAAGATGCCTCACTCTCATAATGCGTTCCCGCTCAGGACATTGCTCCAAAGCCAGAAGCTGCATTGAGATTGTTTTCATTTCTCAATCCGCTGTTCTACGGGGAAGCAGCACTGTGTCACGCAAAGTGCAAAGCAGTGTCCACACAACACACCGCTTGTTCACCAGCTGGTGTGCTTGCTTTGTGAACAAAAACATGAATTACAGAGGAAAACAAGTCTTGTTTGTGATTGTACAACGTACAAAGAGGGTTTTTATGTAGGTTGATGATACAACGGAACAGCTCTGAGTTGGCATTGGGCAAACGATGTCGTTAGAAATGCCTTGTATTCTCTGATTTTCTTACCTGGCTTGTTTTAGCCAGTCATAGATACAACTTTGATTCCCATCCAGAGGGAGCATATATTTCCCCGAGGAAGTCTGATACAATATTTCAGGTATAGGGAAATTTCCTTTTGATATGTCGAAAATCCAATTAACGATTTACTACAGTGTGAATCCAGTGTAAAATAATAATACTTACACTAATGCATGTGAGGTGAGAAAAAGTATAACAGTTAGTCACACGAGATCCATGGATGGAACGGATTGCACTGAACAACTTAGGCGTTGTGCTCATGATTATTAAGGAAATTAGCTTGTCTTAGCCATAAAGAGGGAAAACTCTTAAACACAAGGCGTTGGTGACAACTTTTCGAACCTCTTGGTAGGCTTTTCTCAGGATGTTTAGTCGGTTAATCTAATGTCACAAGCAATAATAAGGCGTTGGGATGCTACATTGTGTAGAACTCGGATGTGATTCACGCATGTGTGTGTATTGGCGATGGTTCGACGGGTGGTTGGGAAGAGTGAAATTGGTTTGACCTTAAGATTATGCCATGCAAATGCGGCGAAAAGAAGATGTTACGATCACCCGATCCGGTTACCGAAAGATCAGTAACTACACTTCGAGGGCTTTGTGCCCCTGGAGTATAAACGTGGTCTTGTTCGGACGCTATTCGACAGAACAATGATGAGCTGCACGGAAGACTAACCTGAGCAAGAACTATGAAACCTTCGGGAGATGTTAGCATAAACGCTGACCCCGAAGCGCTCGTTAATAAACTTAGCAAACCAAGAATTGTAAAAGAAACGATTGCGTCAGTTGTAAAATTATTAAGTCACGTTAGGCCTCACATTCAAAGGTGATGACGTAAGCTACTTGCTCAAAACCGACTGAGGTCGGCAATCGCTCGAACCTAATATGCAGCTAACCGCAAAATCGTCTATCAAAAAACTGGAATACCCACACCCACGGTAAAAGAATATCTGCCTCTGTACGCCAACTCTGATTCAATATGGGTGTGGGTCGACCTACTTGGGTGGCACAGAGCAAACATTACGCAACCGGGTGTCTGAACGTATTCTGAATTGGGTCGAAAGTCAGATGGCGCAATCTGGGTTAAGTCCGCAGCATAGAATCAACGGTCGAAACAACAAGAATCAACTACAAGAAACTACAAGAATCTGTCATCATCCATAGATTAACATCTTCTGATAAGGCAACACCAGAAAGACTGAAGCACAGCGTTTCAGATTATCTACAAGTCACGAATCGCAAGGTTGCTAAGGTTTGCAGAAGCGACTGCTATCATTCGATGGAAGCCCTCTTGTGTCAACAAAAATAACTTTGATAGTTTGTCCTTATCATTATAACACAGTTCTTTTATCCCTCACCCTTTAATGTTTGTCTGTTTCATTATTTTTTACTTTTCTTTGCTATCATGCTAAATCCCTATATAAATATTGTATTTTCTGCAGTATGCACCATGTTGAGATGCAGCGAAATCGTTCTGGATATAAGTCGTGCGGCATTGCAATATTATCTTTTATTTTGGAACGTGTGAACTGGTCATTTGGCAGTTGGGTGGGGACGAGACTATTTTATGTGCACAAGTGTCAAATGTTGTCATAACTGACGAATGATTGCCCCACCGCATCGATTGATTGCCGTAGGTTTAGTGTTGATCGGAAGCGCTTCGGCTAGAAAACTTTCCTTGCGACTTCTGAAAGCACGCTTTAGAATATGCGGGTTTTTAAAATTAACTGCATATCCTTCGCAGATTGCGTGACCACCGATTGCGGAATTGTGTTCCAATCGATTTCAACCGGCTGCATCATTTGGAATCTTCTTCGTTAGAGGCATGTGCTCAGCTATTCGTTTGTTTACGCTTCTGAACGTATGACTGACATATGTTACAGGACAGTTTAGACAACGTATTCTGTTGACTATTATTATTACTACGTTGTCTTTAGAATACGTTGTTGCTGTTAATCTTCCGGAAAATTGACTGCACAATTTCATTTAGTATGATGAGTTTCGGGGAACATGTTTTCTGCAAGTTAAGCCTTACGGTTCATCAGTTTCACTGAAAGTTTTAAATATAAATCTGGACTTAATGTAGCGACGGTAAAGGTGTTGATTGGGGCATCAAAACTGACACACAGAGACCAGGTGTTACCCAGACGAGCGATCACTTCAGCCACACCTTCGCGAATAATGTTATTCCGGCTAGAAACTAAATCTGTGGTTATGCTAATTTAGGTTGCCTGGAATAAAAGGTCATCCAATCTGAATTATGAGTTTTCACCATGGTGTCAGGCACCAGGGGTTAGTTTTTCCCTTTAGAATCCATCTTCACGTGTGTTGACTAATACATGTGCATACAAAAATGTCATTTCTTGCATTTTGTTTGTCCGAGTTTAGTCTAAATGTGGTGGGCATGTTTGTTTGCAACATAGCGGGGCAAGGAGGACATGATACCGAAGGTCCTTGTTTGTGTTGAGAAAAAACGAAGTGAATGGAAGAGTTATCAGATGATTGTCAGATGATGATTACGTGGTGAAGCAGTGAATTGCATAAGCCTTTCAGGTTGTGTGTTCGGAGCCCATCGCATCCATTTTCTTAATCCAAGGCAGGTAATTTCTAATTGACTCCTGCGTCCTCCCCTAAATATACATATGTAGTTGTATTTTCAATGAAGAAACCCTCGTTAAAATAATCACTTTTTATTAATTTTGCAAAGTATGGTAATCAGCAAAACAATTCATTGTCCCAATCTGGTTAGACGAAATCTTTTAGTGGGAAATTACGGAGTGCAAACAATGATATAGAGAAATGTAGAAGCCTACAGTCGGAGGGGTAAACCGGGTTCTGCTGAAGAGTTATGTAGTTTAAAATGCGATTTATGTACGCATCTTAGTATATGTATAATGATGGAAGGATTACGTAAAGTGAATAATGTTATTGACACATAGTTTATGAGAACAAGGTTTTGGATTAAAACTGCATTGTTCAATCCACACGAAAACCGTTTCAGGATAGCCCCTAACTTTGGTTAGAATATGAATATGACAATGTCCCCACATTATCCCAAACTTACCAAGTGGATCCAGTGTAAACATCTGGCATTGTGGGTTGTAAGGCAGCATTCGTGAATTTCTGCCGCACAGCTGGGTGTAGTTCGTTTACCGGACAGTTCAATAGCATCAATCGCTGGCTGCTGGAAGTTTTGCCTTTTGAATAGTTCGACTTCGTGCTGCGTGATTTGATGGACTCTTTCTTGTGATCCTCAGGACCGATTTTAGTAGAAGAACTCGAGCTGGGTCCTCGGCCTAACATCATTCCGGTCTTCTTGATATATATTTTTGAGATCGGGTGAATAAAACAAGAAAAATATAAATATATCGATAGGTGAAATTGAATGTAAGTATAGCAGTTTGGAAGCACCACCGGTCAAATGAGACTAAGTTCAACAAATTATTTCATTTTTAACGAAGTTGAAGTGAGATTGATCCGTAAGTATGAAAACACAAAGAAGATAGAGAACGAATGGATTACGGTTCATTTATTTTTATTCAAATTGCCCACAGAGAAATACAGAAGAAAGTAAGTGTGATTATTGTGATATTCGTTTCGTAGAATAGTATCCATTGCGTTCACATTGAATTGTCCTCCTCAATGTCTTAGGGAACGACTTTGAAAACACCTGTGCATTGGACAAAATATTGCAAATTGGTTCTCGTAGCTCGGGTGAAGTGAATTCCATTTCGTCTGTTCTCTGAGCTTGGCAATTTGTTTGCAAACGTTTCATCACCAGCCGAGGTGACATCATCAGTGCTTGTGAATTTGAAAGAGTCAGTTGACAGTTTATCATTAAATAGCAAACCCCAAAGGATCAGAAGAAAATGAGTCGTTATTTTCTATTTTTGCAACCCTTGTGGAGTATTAGCCCTCCATCGATCCTCACCAGTCTTTACGACCGGGAGAGAATAGTTATACTATGGAATTGTCTGTAACGTTTGCAGTCAATTAAGCAAATGGTGTATTCCTGTGACAACTTATTTCTTCCCCAGCTTACGTCACATCAACATCGTTCAATGACCTTCCACGAAAACGACCAGAGGAACTAACACTACGGCAACTTGAAAACAAATATGACGATTGTGAATTTGTTTAGCAATTGTTTTTGGTCTTCTCCATTGCACTTGAGGGAAAGTGCTATGCTGTTCACTTCAAAATATCGCGCAGTTTGTCGGAATAACAGTGTTAGGGAAGTAAAATAAAGTGATAGCGAAATTGATGACCACGGCCACCATCACTAAACTCTCCCAATGTCCGTTTACTCTTTGAACACACTTATTGACCCTTTTTCCTTTGTAAAGTTGATAGCGTAGTTATGTTTTCCAAAACGGAATTTCAACACCGTTGTTATCACTTAAACAAGTTACATACTCCTCAACTACTCTCACAGAGGCTTATCATTGTCTTGCTTCTCCAGAAGTTGTGTGACGTAAATACTATTACTATGGGAAAACTGCATTGGTTGTCCATGATATGTATCCAGCTAAAATAAAGTTTGGTTTCTTGATCTCGATTTAGTAAAGAACTCTTTTTTTCTTTTATTGTTTTGAATTACACAACTGGGTGGTATACGCACCCTTCATTTTCCTAAGCGGACACTAGTTCCCATATCTCAGATCATGCATTGAACTGTCAAATTAAATTTATGGTGCAAGCCTACAAGATAAATTCATCGATGCACCTTTAGGTGGTCACCGAATAGCTAATCCGGAATAAAAAGAAATAAAATACAGTAGACAAACAAATTGTTTACTGAATTGGTGGAAGCCGAGGTAACCAGTGAGGTTCAAAAGAAATGGATTGCAAAGTTTTGAAGAACGCACTGGTCATTACGAGTAGTAACCCCCTATAAGTTGAGCCTAACACCGGAAATACTAGGTGGCAAAGCGAAGCTCCCCAATTATCAGCTGATCTTTAAAGTCGACCATATGCATGCCAAACGATGCGTGCACATGCACACATACAAAATACTGTCCAATTTCTAAATGTTTTAAACATTCATAGCGTTACCTTTTAGAGGAATGAATAGACAGCAATCAAAGACATGTTCTATTTCACATGCTCTACTCTTTGGTGTGTTCCCCCTCGGAAAACATATGCGATTTGAGCTGTTTGTATTTTTTCGCACAAGCCTATACGGTGTTTCTATAGTACCTATTTGTATACACTAATTTTGTGTATCAGTTTTTGGTCCGAACATGCTATAACACATGTCGTGATGGTTTTGATTGAAAGCAAAACTTAATCAGGGGCTAAACTGGTTCAGTCGAATATTGTGCCACTAGAGCTAATTTTGAAAGACGGAGGATAACGAACTAGAACACAATCTGAAATCGGTTTTACCGAATAAGGTGGTCTATTGAGATGTAGGATAACTTTAGGCCTTATTTACATAAATGAGATTTTGCCACATTTTCGTCTAATAAACCTATTTATAATGAGGCAGAGTTTGATGATTCAGTTATAAACCCAGTTGCAAAGAGCCCGTAAGAGCTATTGACGACGGTCAGGATGTGATTGTGTCATCCATAGCTTTCGTGCCTGATCCCTCATCGTGCTGGGTGGTCTGTGAGAATTTTATTTGCAGACTGCGTAACAATAACTCAATCATGGTGATGCTAAGGAACCACTTCCTCCTGAACACTGAATATTTATGATAGTTGAAGTTTACATTACCGTGTTATATGTAACATTCAAGTTTTACAATTTTGTTAAAACATGCTCTTGTTTTTACGGTAGATAGGCTCTCACGTAGACAAAGTAAAATGATAAGCGTATGTAGGCCCACACGACCAAACTCTCTACTGTACTAACAAAGCATATTGTGCTAGACTTGTATGCCTTGAGATCGACACAGCACTAGCTATACACTTCAAAGGTAGATTTCAACAGAACATGGTGTAGCACGGATGCTAATTGATGATTATATATTTGTCTGGATAAGCCATATCTGTAGGTTTCTGAGTAGTTCGATAGGCAATGCACTGATGATGTCCAAAAAGGACGACAGCTGTACACTGCTTCCCACATTTTTATTTCACGCTTTCTACGCTGTGTTCAACACATACGTTTTTAAGCAATTTTCAGTTAACCAAAGAGAAAAATTGATTAGGCAGCTGATATTTCTTTAAATTCAAAGCACCTCCTACCTTTGGAGGCTTTGCAAAATAGGAATGAAGTATAGGCCAAAGAAAGATGATTGCATTTTTATTTGGAAAACGGTCAATCTTTATTATGTTACAACGCGAACTGAAAAGATCGTTATTACAGTGATTTGCAAAACGTTTATAAGATTACATGATACTTTCTACAAAAAGAAATAAGTTAACTATGAGGTTACGTAAAAAGATAATTGAGAACAATGCGCGAGTGTTATTTCAGTCAATAACACTACACAACATCGGTCGTCCCCTTTTGACAAAAGAAATCCATAGGTCATGAATTGCAAAACATTTCAGGACAGTTGGAAACATCATTGTCTCTTTTTCGTAATAACTTTCTTATGTGACATGATTTTCAGGCTGTTGGCATTCAGCGCAGCAAAGTTTTGTCATCCTATTTTGTGTGCACAACAATTTCGAACGCAATCAGTGAAATTGTCATTGTTCGCAACCAATTCTCCCCCGTTCACGGACTGCGTCCGTTGGACCCAGTTGTGTACCAAAATTATCTTGTATAAATAGCAGATTGTTCTACCTAATAGAGACAGAGAAGATAACAAAGCTGTGGTAACTACTCCTAGTATTTATCTTCTCTTTATTCTAAATAGGAAAAAATACTGGGCTCATTGAATGAACAAATGAACGTCTTTAGAATATCTTTTTACTTCCTTTATATTTATTGAATACACAAATGTACAATAAACATTCAGGGTGGGAGCTGCGAGCATACAAAGGCTGTCTGGTAAAATATAGAAATGGAGAAGGTTGGCAGCGGTGGAGCATTTCAAACCCGGGACTTCCGTATCACTATACCGATGACTTTTACCATTTGGTCACCATCACCCATAAGTGTTATTATGTGATGATGTCACAAATGTCATTGGAAGGTCTCGGAAGCCGTGTACGACTGTCTCACTTTTGTTAGAAATTGCCATCGCTGCAGAACACTCGAGCTTTTGACAGATTAAATCCAAGCAAGCAGAGTGAGGAATAAAACACAAGGGGGTCATTTTGGCGGCATTTTAATTTAGATCTACATGAGATACTACACACTTGGTTATGCCACTGGACTTTGACGACCGTGAGTTAGATTCGGATCCTATTAGTGAGTCGACAATGCTGAACTATTCAGACTGCTACTTGATTGATTTAAGTAGCAAGAAACCGTGTGATCAAAAAACTGTTTATCAAGTGGCATTATTGTAAATATTATGTATCACGTTGGTGCCCGGACAAAAAGAAAAATAACCGGTCCGTTAAGCATGTAGGATTGAAACATGATGATATTTGAAACCAGCGTTCGTTTTTGTAGAAATTCAATGCTCGATTTCCCGAGCAGGTGAAGGGATTGATCTCGTTAATGCAGAAAAAGTGAAATGTCGCGAGATATTAATATTTCATCTTATCTTCTCAATGGTTGACTTTCATTTACAATGATGTGCACCGTATGTTGAGGTCAGCTCTAGACCGTACAGTCCCAGCTGCTTTACTTAGACTCATTGCCTCCACTCCAGGAATTGAGTTGGACAAATGTGAACATGGCTGGCAAACCAGTTCCGTCTCACACACTGTATACCAGTTCACCTGCAGTTGCGGTGACGCGTACATAGGCAGGACAAATGATCACCTTTCACAACAGATGAACATATTCCAAAATGGTTGATGAAATGGATGACGCAACTGATATTTGATGGTCTAGTAATTACCAGAAATCTGTTGTGTAACATGTTATGAAAATGGAATACACAGTTGATCCTAATGTTTCTTTCTAATCGCAATGCTAAGCTTTTGCCACCTAGAGAAGGAACGCTTCTCACTTGACCTTACACACACAATTGTTTTTGATACAATCAATCCGCTTACTGTAAAGTTAACGATCTAGCTCTATAGTTCGTAATCTTTCTACACGTGTACACGTTCTTTCACCATAACTAAACAAACCCATGTGCTGTATATGTACCTGTTAGTTTAAATCACTAACTGCGATGATTTAATATCTGGCGACATTTGTATCCTTTCTGTATTGATTAAATGGATAACGGAGATTCAATGCTTCAAATTTCCAAAACGTAGAAATTGATGTTTTGAAGTTTTGGTTGT